AGCTGTCCCAAGAGGTTGCGACTACACATCAAGCAAGATCCCTGGAACCTTCCCAGCAGTGTTCGAAATCTTGCACAAAACATCAAAAAATTTGTTGAAGGTCAGTGATGGGGATGTAATCTTGAATAATTATTCTTATATAATAAATTGCTTTGTTGTACTCCTGATGCAAAGTCTGTAAAGTCTGTGAATCATGTAGACTCTAGAAGAGCAACCTAGTCCAATCTTGTGTTCCCTTATGAGAGTATTCCATAAGTCTGTAAAGTCTGTGAATCATGTAGACTCTAGAAGAGCAACCTAGTCCAATCTTGTGTTCCCTTATGAGAGTATCACTTTCTCTCAGTTGAACTTCAAAAGTATAAAAAGGCACAGTATTGGATAGTGGAGTATTTCAGCAGGTGTATTTGTGTGGGAATTTTAAATCACCCATAGCTTGCTTAAGACCTGTTTTGAAAATATGTCTTTATGTTTTCCTTCAGATTCTTTGTATACAATAATCTATGATATTCCATTGTCAATCTGTTTAATTTCAGACAACTGCAAAACAGCATAGTGCTGCACTTTATAAATAGAAATATTTAAATCTCCCATGGGACTTTTAATATTATAATATGAAATGTACGAGGAAAAGCAAATTGATAAATAAATTATATTAAACCCAGCTACCTATTATCATGTCCCTATTTCATCAGAAGACATATGTGAAGATCATATTTTTGTTTCACAGTGATTTAGAAGAATCCGGGACTAGATTATGTGTGTCTTGCAGAATTATATTATACCAAATAAAACTGTCACCTTTCTTTACTGTATGGTCTTAAAATATCTTCCTATGATACCCTGGACTCTAATCTGACTCATAGGTGGCCATCACTAGATGGGGTAGCAGCATTTCCAGAGGCATCCTCAAGCCAACTTGCATTTATGGATTGAGAACTGGATCAGAAAGGGTTGTTCCTGCCTGTTCTAAGTTTCCTATTGCTCTTTTTGTGCAATTTTTTTTAAAAAAAACAAACCAGAATTTTTACCATTCCAAAACCCAAGCTGCTCTTGTATAAATGGAATTTTATTTAACTGTTAAATTTGTTTCGGCACCTCTCCTGAGGTTAATGTGGCTTTTGTAGCAGTATATTAAAAAGAGTACAATGATTTTTAAAACCAACATCTAAAGTAATTCTGGTGAACCAAGTATATCATGAAAAGTATATCATGAGGAATTTCAGACAGACGATATAATCCGGAAGAGGAACAGTTCCCAAATGGTTTCTGGTCTGTCATTTCAGGCAGAACCCATTTCAGAACCGGTTCTCTTCCGGATTATATTTGTCATTTCACACAGAAACGTTTCTGTCCCGTTTAGGAAATGGGGCTGAAGCATTTTACCTGTCAACCGCTTCCAAGTACTCTTCAGTTCCCTCTCCCGGTTCCGATGCACTTTTTCCCGTCGTTTTTCGCCCGCGTGGGCGATCTCCGTTTTTTTTAAACGTTCGCTTTATAGCGCTATAGCGGAACTTCAAACTATTGCCATAGCGATCCCATTGGAATGCCTGGACTCTACTGGGATACATGTGATGGCTACATCTGCCCCCTGGAAACAATTACCCCATTGGACAGCAGGTTCAGGTGGGAGATCAGGGCATTAGTGATTGGTGGGAGGAGCAAGAGGTTCGTGACCTCCTTGTTTTGTGGGGGGATGACAGAATACAGGAGGTTCTCAGGTTTAACCACAGAAATTGTGCTGTATTCCATAAGATTTCTGTGGAAATGGCCATATTTAGGAGTTCCTTAATCTCTCTGTCATAGGCTGTGTCATGACTCAGGTGGGGGTGTCAACTGACACTGCGACCACTCTGGATTTAGGTTCCCTTGAGAAGGCCCAGAGCACCCTCCCAAGACCTTGAGACCTCCCTTTAGGCTGAATAACAGGTGTGAGGACCAGGCAGAGTAAAACAAGGAAAAGGTTTATTTTATAGGAGATCAAACAACAAGGTGCAGAATAATAACAGTAAGTGGGTGAAAAGAAAAGAAATCAAATGCCCTAACGCATCTAAATTTACTTTCCCTAGCTCACTATCTCAAGTGGCCTTACACTACTCACCCTGTCCTCAGGATGAGGGTCTCTCCTCTGCAGCAGCCTTCCTTCCGGCTCTGCCCTCTGGAAGAAAGAACAACTCTTCTTGCTGCTCCAGAACATTTATTCCAAGCCCTCCTCTTTTCCTATCAGTCCATTTTGGCTCCAAAACCTCCCAGGGGCTTCTGGGAGTTGTAGGCCCAGCCTCACCTACTGATAGCCAGGCTCCCTGGGCCTAGTAGGCCTCTGGTGGCAAAGCCCAGATCACGACAGGCTGCACAAATGCAATTAAAATGAAGATGTTCCCAAAATTAAATTACCTGCTGGCTAACATTCTATAATAATATCTAAGGCTGTTAAGAGTGAGTGCAAGCAATGATTAACAAATTTATCTGGGGAGGTAAGAAGCCTAAAATTAGGTGGCAAATTGCACAGGTTTAAATGGCACATGGGTGGTTTTCGATCCCAAGTTTACAGGTGTATCACAATGCCGCAAGACTGACCTGACTTCTGAGATGGATGTCAGAAGCTTCAGATACAGTCAGTTGTGACATAGAGTAAACATATGTGAGAATGTCCTTGACAACTTTTTAAATAGTCCAGTAGCACAATATAAATACTTTTCTCCAGATGTGAGACTTGTATTCTAAAGTATTATGTCCTGGACTATTACCCTTGGTGTCAGCAGTCAGGGATTTGAATAAACTCCAAGGGTTTCGGCTAGGTTCATTGAAGAAATGGGAAACTTATACCCTTACATACATATAAGATTCTCTTTGTAAATAATAAGTTGATTAATTTTGATGCAGTTGTAAGTTGCAGTAATAGGCTGCTACCTTCTTTGAATATATCCAGATTAAAAGCTATATAATACAGAAATGTTATAGGGGTAAGATTCTAAGGGATCTCTTGGACTTGAAACACTGGTTTGTGATTTTGCTTTTGAGGATAACTGCAGCCCAATGTTAGATGGACCGAGTGAAATAGTAAACAGATTTGCAAACTACCAGGAAGTGTAACAAAGTGTGAGGAAGGAGGAGAACACACACTACCCTGAGGCTCATTCACGTTACTCCAAATCATGGTTTGATGTTACATCTGAACTATCGTCATGTGACAGAAAAGGCATTTAGTGGTGTCTGTCTGTGTAATGAGGTGGGGAGGGGTAAACCAAGACCATCCAAGGCCTCCAAATTACTTACTGCCTGCACAGTTAGGGATCCCAAGTTCCCCCAGGGGTGGGGAACCCCCCGCCCCAGAGGCCCGTTCCCCGGTGCCGCCGTATTGGGCCCCGGGGAGAACTCCTCCCCGACGTGCGCATCACCTGGAAGTGATGCGGGCACACCGGGCATGCTGGGGGCGGGGCCATGGCCATACAAGGGAAAACTCTATGGTTTTCCCTTGTATGGTCGTGGCCCCGCCCCCAGCATGGCCGACGTGCCCGCGTCACTTCCTGGTGACGTATGTGTGGCGTGCACGTGCTCCGGGATCCACCCGGGAGTCCCCCGCCACCAAGGTAAGTTCCACTTGGCAACCCTATGCACAGTTCAGTAGCCTACTTAATGAATTCTCACCTTGAAAGCTTACTAGGAATGTTGTGGTCAGTTCAGCTATGTAATATATGTTGGTACTTCATTATTAGCTTTATGAACTGAATGTACTAATAACAAGCATTATTCCATCTTAAGAGGTATGAATTAGAGGATTGGTTAATATCAATAGAAATATGCACCAGGAAAGGTCTGGTTCAAATTCATTAGAGAGGATTTTTTTCTTCTACAAAATTTCTTCTTATTTTTTTTCCAGAAGTGAAAGCAAGGATCCTTTTAGCGCTCCTTGAATATACAGGTACTTTTCATGAATCTATTGCAGTATTTTTTTAACCAAAATTTATATTTCTCTAAATATTGTGTTACGTTGTTGTAAGCTCAAGTGATATCCATTTGTCTGAAAAAATGAAAATGGACTAAATTTATTAAATGTGTGTATCTTAGCTCTACCAAATTGATACAAAATGTGAAGAAAGTAGCAGCACGTTTTTACAAATGGGAGATTATTTCAAGTTATAACTCAATGGAAAACAGAAGGAAGAAAGCAAAAAAAAATATAAAGGCAAAGGTTTCCCTTGCTTGAAAGCCAGTCGAATCCGACTCTAGGGACTGCAGTGCTCTGTTTCCAAGCTGAAGAGCCAGCACTGTCCAAAGACTTCTCTGTGGTTGTGTGGCTGGCATGACTAAATGCCAAGGCGCATGAAACGCTGTTTCCTTCCCACCAAAGCAGTATCTATTTATCTACTTGCAATCTCTTGCTCTTAAACCGCTACAAATTAAATATTGAAGAGATCTATCTAGACCTGAAAAAGGAGTGCATGAAACATTGTTGAAGGCCAACCTATGGATTGAAAGACAAAGGCCTTAAGTAGAATTGATGGTGTGGCAATTTTAAAGGATGCTTACAGGACATAAGCACCAACATGAACTATATGTTTATTTATAATAATATTTTAATGCCAATATATGGAGTATTTTTAACTAGGAAGAAGGCTCGTTGCGGAAAAAAATGCAACAAGCTCTAGCTGGGCCGCCGCCACCCAGCCCACCCCTTGGGAAAAGAAGGGGTGGCGGCCTCGTGCGTGGGGCGCAGCGGCGGGTAGAGCACAGCTCCGCCAGTGCCTGCATCCCAGCTGCCGCCACCGGGGTCAGAGAGGAGGAGGGTCTTGGCGCGGCAGCGGGCCCTCATCAGGGAGGCCTCACAGTGTGGTGGTGAGGGGGTGCAGCATGGAGCAGCGTGAGAGCTGCCTCAGCTGGGCCGGACGGCGATGACAGGGCTGCTGGTGGAGGGGTGGCCTCTTGCCGCAAGCAGCAGTCACCGCCCTACCCCACCTCGACCATGGAATTTCGGAACATGTGTGGGCTCTCGCGCCTCTTCTCCACCTCTCCCAGTGGGCCTGCTCACCCTCCATCCGCCGGAGCGCCCGTCCCCTTGAATGGGTGAGAGCACATTGAGCCAGAGACGCTGCCAGCCGGCTCAGCGCCTATGTGGGCAGGACGGAAGCAAGGGAGCTAGCCAATGCAGCCAGGGGATCCTTCAGACTGGCAGGTGCAAGAGCAAAAGGCTGCGGGAGTGTGTGCAGGAGGGACACCAAAACTCTTTTATAATAATTAGAGATTCCATATATTGGAATTGTATTGTGAAATATACCATTCAGCAAAACAATTACAGTTTTCTGAAATTTTAATGACTGGCCATAGAGTCTATGTCATTGAAGAGACTGGGTTCTTTCCCTGAATTTATGGAGAAATAAGTAGATTTGTAGGAAAACTCTGGATTCAGATTCATTCACAGTTGCTGTTTGGCTATGTTGTATGGAAATATTTGTTGGTATAGAAGTGGAATCATTGGTGTTTAATTCACTCGTTTACAGTGTTGAATTCCTCCATATGTTTATGAACAGAGTGCAGGGGAGGTGGCTGCAGGGAATAGGCAAGTGAAGAAGGCAAGGCATGAATGGGGGAATAAAAGGAACTTCCTAGAAACAGTCCTGGGAAGAAAACAGTGGCTGACGACTCCAGGCTGCGAGGGAGTTGAGTCAAGCTGGGAGGAGATGCAACCCCCTGGAGCAAGATGGCAGAGTGCAGTTGCCCACCCAGGGGGAGCAGGCAGGGCCCCACAGAGGTAAAAGGCAAGATTTGGAGTGAGAAAAATTTGTGTAGACATCATAAGTTGCTTATTGTAAGCTTGTGGATATAGGTAACTGAAAAGAATACAAAGTACTAGGGGCCAGAATATAAAAGTTTTTTGTTTAAAACATCAGATGTGTAAACTCTTGTGACTGAATGAATATATAATGCCCAATATAAATAATTAGAATAAACACCACAACATAATGATAAATGTGTGAATAAAGAAATATACAGTACCAGATATTAATTATGAGAAACAAATCAAGAGTCATTGTGGAGAACCAGTAGCATAGCTGCTAATGAGAAGTCTATATCCTCTAGTATGTATGATGATGAAAATGCACCATAAACAGTACATCAATGGAAACCTATCCCAAGGTGCATCTGAATGGCTGCTTACTGATAAAATTATGCTGAGTGGTTCCGCTGCACTCTGTGTAAAGATCACACTCTATACCATGGGTTGAACACACTTGCTTGCAACTCTTGTTTGGATTTCTAGCCATCTCATTGTATATTACTGCTTAATAGTAGCACTTGTTAACACTTGTGTCTGTTTGAAAAGTGCTGCTGATACCAAGACCTTGTTATAGGTCATTTTCCATTTAGAGACATACTGAGCCAGTCTTGCGGGTCCAATTACACATGTATTTCTTCACTTTTATGTTAATTATTTAGGCACAAAAGGATTGCTGTCAGCAGATCCAACAGGTATACTTTGAAAAGCAAAAGGCATCTATCATATTGAAAGGATAACTATCATGAGAAGTGGTTTAGAAGTCCATATTTGTTTAAGATTGTGCAGTATAAAATAAAGCACTACTTGTAAAAATATTGAGTAATCATATTAAAATACTTCCATTTCACATTTATTTTGATACCTTGCAGTCTTCAAAAGATTCACTGGTACAACTTTAGGGAAGTTATCATGAGTTGGTTATGGTGAAAACATTATAATTGTATATAAATGTTACAGATGGAATAACCATTGTTCATGAGATAAGTCCTGTGGGAAGATAATTGGCATCTAGTTTGGAAAATGGCACCCACAGATTTATGTGCTGTCTATCATGGAATTCATACAAAGATATATCGCAGGACTATTATACTTGCATGATCACTTTGAGCTATTCTTGGCCAGACAGAAGCCTCCCACCATGTGGAGAAACATTAGTAGACTGCATGTAGAATACTGTGAACAGTGTCTACCAGCACTCTGCAGTTATGCCTAGCATTTGTTGCTGTACACTGGTGGCTAAATCTATATACTGCCTAGTTCATGCTGTTCATTGTTGATCTTCTGTGCAGTCTCACATGGGGACTGCACATGAGCAGGCCTGCTGTCCGAGAGGTTTTTCTAGCTAAAAGCTTCCAAAGGGCACTGTGTGCAGGAGCAGAAGCCTTTGATCTTGGAGAGACATGTGTTCCCGCTTTGAAACACCCCTGCCCTCAGTTTCTCTTTTGCCGCTGAAGGAGAAGGTTGGAATTTGGAGAGTCTCTTGCTTCATAGTGTTGAGGAATTCTTTCTTCCCGATCTTGAGTCCTGATGGCTCAGAAAACACTCTTTAAAAAGTGCATTTGCTGTGGTGCTAAAATGACCTGGACTGATGAGCACAAACTATATCTATGTTGTCTGGGTGAAGAGCATAATATATTCACATGTAAATCCTGCCTATGCTTTACCTCCAAATAGGCTTACCAAACGCTGGCGGGGGAAATCTATTTCTTGGCAGGATGTGTGCTGCGGGGGACGGCGATACGCGGTGCACCCGCTGTCGCCAGGATGTGACGCTCTGCGTCGCTCTGGCAATGGGACACCAAACAGCCCCGTTGCCAGAGTAACGCGGAGCGTCACTTCCTGGCGACGGCGAGTGCACCACGCACAGCCGTCCCTCACGGCACGCATCCTGCCAGGAAATAGATTCCCCCGCCGGCGTTTGGTAAGCCTACCTCCAGAGCCAGAGGGGGTAGAGCTTCCAAATTAAAGGCAGCATTTTGGGAAAAGACACTTAAGGCCTCAGCTACAGAATGCAAAGGCGATGAGGTTCTGTTCCTGTGCTGGGAGGAAGCAGGGCTTGTTAGGGGATGCCTTCCAGAGATCCTGAGTTGAGGAGCTTCTTTACACATTCCCTGCTTTTCCCTTACTGGTCAGAGTTTTAGAGAAAGCCAGGAGGGAGATGATTCTGATAGCATCCTTTTGGCCTTGTTGGGCTGCCACCTGGACCTCTGCTGACACCTTCATAAAACATAACACTTCAGATCTGCAAGCAAGGCGAGAAATGCAGCTGGGAAAGGCAATGCTTCAATCGTTGTTTAAGGTTAGAATGCCCCACCATCTCGTTTTCAGCTTGCTAGAATCCCCATGTGGGACTGCACAGAAGATTGACGATGAAAACAGGGTTGAATTTACCTGCTGCATGCTTCTTCAGCTGCGTAAGAGGTACTGAAACTAGGGGCGCTGCGGTGCGGGAGCATGTCTCTCTGTGAGATCAAAGGTGCTCCAGTGTGCAATGCTCCCTAGAGGCTTTTAGCTAGAAAAACCTCTCCAACGGCAGGCCTTCTCATGTGCAAACCCCTTTGTGTGTTAGCACAGAAGATACTTGATGAAAAACAGTTACAAGTGAGTGCAACCCTGTTTTATTTCTATGCCTGTGTTTCTGAGCATATCCAAGGCAGCTGATATATAGACACGGAAGTTCTTAGTGAACCCAAAACCTGAAGTAATTTGATACAGCTGGATGTTCTTTATTTCAGTGATTTATGAAATGGCTTTTATTTTTATTCATTTTGGAATGAGTCAGTTTGTAATAGATGAAATATTTTGACCATAATGTATCATCTATTACTTTCTCTATAATCTACCAACACAGTAAATATGCATGTTATATAGTAAAAGTGGATACATATACTGTCCCAACAACAAGAATGGCATGCACACATATTACTTGGTGCTTAGCAGTGGCTCTTTTGTATAGGACATTTTTCTCATAATATGATAGCATGACTTCTTAAAGTAAAGGTACAATTTCTGTTCATTTACTATTCAGTGGATGTAGTACACCTTATTTTTCTCCTTTGTTGTGCCTTTTGCAGATAGTGAGATTCAGCTCAGGCGAGACATGGTCTTCTGTCAAAGTCTAGTGGCCACAGTATGTGCCTTTTCAGAGCAACTAATGGCTGCCTTAAATCAGATGTTTGACAATAGCAAAGAATATGAAATGGAGACACAAGAAGCCAGCAAAAGGTGGTTGGAACAGATCTCCATTGCAGGTGTCCTCCTCAACTTCCAGTCACTATTGTCACTCAACCTGGTGAGAATTCCAGTTTTTTGTTTGTTTCGTTTTGTATAAAGTTCCTATTGTCCTTACCATAAAGTTGCTGGAATCAACCTCTGCTGAAAAAAGGGAGTAATTTTCTACAGACATCCAGATTAATTCATTTTGCTCTATTAAGTTAACTATGTTCTCTGTTGTATGTCTAGAATACTGATAAATTGACATAAGAAGTAAGCTGGCATAATTTACCTTTTCTGCTGTAAATTAATAATACTTATGTTGGAAATCTGGAACCAAAAAGTAACTGATTAATTCAAATTAATATATACATACTGCTCATATACACACCATTGTTTCTGGCCTTGTTGCTTCCCTGGAGTTGTCAAGTAATTATTCTGCAGGGACAGTAAAAGCCATAACTGGCAGAATTTCCCTGTTGGGTTCTAGACTGTAGATATATGCTAGGATGGAGTATATATACAAACAACTGCCATGAAGTTCCTTCATAGTCTTCTCTTTAATGAGCTCCTCCTGACCTGAGTTCCTTGTATATACATTTCACGTTAACATGAAGATGCATGGGCAAATTGGGTTGGTGGAGTAATTTCAAACTGGTTGAGACTAAGGTGACCACTGGAGGCATGGGAGTAGGATGCTCTTTCTCCACGCCATGCCTGGTAGCGGAGTTCAGGAGCAGCAGGGACAGGTGCAGAGCCATGCTAGGTGCAGAGGCAGAGCGATGTGGAGAGGCCCAGGGAGCTGCATTGGGAGGTGGCGAACTGCAGCGGTGATAACAGTGGGTGGCACTGCTCTACACCCTTTCTTTGGTCTCCTTGATTTTAGATTCCTTGTCCCTTGGCTTCTGTACATCTCAACCTCTTACTAGTCCTCTTCCTGTCCAAGGTGAGGTATTAATCACACAAAAGGTCAAACAGACAACTATATCTGCCAGTACAGAAATACAACTTTATTTTTTAGTTCCTTGAACAACTAAACATTCTGTGTCACCACCACCAATAAACACAATATACGACTGATGATATGCCAATAAAGGTCTATGAATGAATGAATGAATGAACAAACACACACAAACATACCTTTTCTTATTTTTATTTATTTAGTTTCTTGTTTTGATAAGTAGATAGATAATACCATAAATTTTTATTTGTTTTAGAAAATATAACATGGCATCAATTACTTTGATTTCTGATGTAGCTTCTATAGGCTTTTTACATTCTGGGCAAATGTAATTCTAGATGAATGCTTCTCTTTTAGTGAGCATTCAATCAAATGAACTGAGAATATTTTAATTCATTTTTATAATCCTTAGTAATATATAGAAATACATTTTCTGAGTTCTAAAGATTTTCTGAGTTCTAAAGATTAATACACAAAACTCACTTTAAAAATTTAAGCTTGCTTTGTTGTACAGCATTTCTAAGCTAACTCGCTTGCATGAGCAACATGAGATTAAATGCCACAGCCAACACAGCAAACTGTAAATTAATTTACAGCATTCAGCATATTTCATCATTGTTAATAATCATCTTTTGACAGCAGAAGATGGAGCGGAAACTCAATAGAAATAGATCCATCTTCAGTTACTCATGAGATTTAATTGGCTTAACTACTTCAGTGAAACAGGATGTGACCATCTGCAGTTAATGTTAATAATCATATGCATCAATTTTGAGTGATTACTAGACTCAAGATACTTTTTTTCTTCCAGACCGATGAACAATCTATGCTAGAAGACACATTGGTTGCATTGTTTGACCTAGAGAAAGTTACATTTTATTTTAAACTATCTGAACAAGAGCCTGTAGTTGCAAGTGAGTATGTCTTATGCTAAGCAAATTTCTGCTTTCCATTGTTACATCAAAATATGGTATTGTATATATGCAACATAGCTAAATAATTAACTCTTTGGGCCCTATCAACTGCATATGAATCTACTGGAAATTATATAGCTCATGGTTTGTGGTAAATATGCTTTTATTTTTAAGGTGTTTTTAATATTCCTACGGTGCGATCCCATGTACACTTTCCTAGAACTGAGCACTAATGAACAGAGGATTCTGAGTACACTTGTTTTGAATTGCTGTCATAGATGACGTCATCCAGAAGTGACGTAATCACGTCGGGCACGTCACCTGGCGACGATCTAGCAATCGCCCTGAAAACTCTATGGTACCATAGAGTTTTTAGGGCAATTGCTAGAGCGTCGCCCGGTGACATGCCCAGCGTGATTACGTCACTTCCAGGCGATGTCATCGTGCTGGGCACATCGGCCTGATCTGGCCACTTTGGTGATTGGGTTCCCCCGCTGGCCAAATCGGGATCGGCAGATTGGGGGCTCTTTCGGCGGGGGAATCCCCACCCCCCAGGGGGACTTGGCAGCCCTACAGGAGGAGGTTTTTAGGACTGTAGCCATAATTTCCAGGCGACTAGGCATTAAGTTGGTTTTTCACATTTCTTATAATATGTGTTCTTTGAGGGAAGAGTAAAGCCACAAATGTTTTAAGTTTTAAAATTTGCCCATATTTTTTTTGTCCAAGATAGAATAACTTTCTGTTGCACATGCAACATGGAAACACAGCCTAAATTACATTTGTTGTGGTATGCGGAAATAAGAAATGTTAGAATAATATTTATGCCACATCTCTTTTTCCTGTTGCTTCTATTCACTACAATTATTCTATTACTCTAGTACTATTCTCTATTTGTTAAAATATTAGTGTGTGTTGGGCAGGTTGTAGTGAGATATATTGATAGAGTTCTGGCCTTTAGTAAAGTTGTATCATGACTGTTCTTAGATATGCCAATCCTGTATCAAGCAGAAGGAAGTCGGCAAGCCTTGAAAGTTTACTTTTATCTTGATAGTTATAATTTTGAACAACTTCCTCAAAGGCTGAAGAATGGTGGAGGTTTTAAAATCTACCCAGTACTGTTTGCTCAAGGTAAAATACATTTTATTCTCATTTTGCAAATTGGTATTTAGGAGGAATAAAGCATTACTTTGGGCATGTTTGCATTCTTGAACATGTAAGACATACTATAAAAATTGAAATTATTTTAGTATGAATATTAATGTATTGATTGTATACATATATTTGAGCATTTTGTTTATGAATAGCATGGTGCAAGTTTAATTTTTTTATAAATTAATTGAATTGTTCACTTCAATCCATTTATAAACTCCTTTGAAAGTTTAAACTTGTCATTTGTACAGACTGCAAAACAAAACAAAAAAGTCCCCAAAGTGTTGAGGAAAAATGGAGATACCCAGTCTTTAAAAAGCAATTAGTTAAATTTTACTAAACAAATGACAGCATAATGAAATATGATATGTAAATCATTTCTTGTATCAGAACAGGGCGATAAATTCTTAAAATTTATATTTATTATTAAATTGGCAGTGTTCCTAATTACAAAATCTTTTAGTAATGTTATTCTTTCTAACAGCTACCAAATTCTCATTTAAATGCAAGAATGAGATTAGGTTAAAAAAAAGATAATAGGTGAATATTTTACAAGGATTTGTTTCATTTTCTTGTAGCACTAGAAAGCATGGAAGGCTGTTATTATAGAGACAATGTGTCAGCAGAAGAATTTCAAGCCCAGATTAATGCAGCTTCACTAGAAAAAGTAAAACAGTATAACCAAAAACTCAGGTAAGTAATCAGCTACCTACCTTTGTTCTGTCCAATAACACAGTTTTTGTCTACAGCCCTGAAATAATTTTTCGAAGTAGTCATATGCTTTGAATTGCTAAGTAACTGTCTGATTATAAATAAATAAAAGTACCTGATTTTCATACCATTTTAAATAAAACCATTGAACTGATTCATTAATCACTTCCCCATGTATTCATTGCATATAGTGTTTCGCAACAGTCTTGTAAGATGGGCAATATTATTGTTACTGTATTGCATATGAAGGACTCTGGCCAAGAGGATAGTAGTTTGCAGTTTACACTTATCCCCTGTTCCACACAATACTGATAGAGAAGTATCTCAATTGCGTTAAAATACTTTATAAAGAGATGCAAACATCTGATGGCCACTCTTTCTTTTTCCTCCACTCTACCTAATCACATCTTCCCTCCTCCCACTCCCTTTGGCTAATCTCTTGGTGGATCAAAAAACCCTTATGTTTTCAGAAACATCATGAACTTCAGGTGCTCCCCCCTTGTATTATGGTTTTGATTTGCACAGGTGCGCTATTATATGTCTGTCTGGTCTCAGTCATTTTCAAAATTCACTGTAAAGAGTTTGGAAATGTGAAACATAATATGGTGAATTTAAAAATGTAACTTTTAAAAATACGTACATATATTTTAAAATACATACATAAAAATACATATATTGATAAAAGGTAAAATAGGATCTGGAGTGTGGGAGATGGAAGATAAAAACGGGTAATTTTCAACAAGAAATTTAAACTAATTATGAGAAACTAATTATTAATTGCGTATGCACTTAGTATCTATCTACAGTTTGTGAAGCTGTACCTTTGTTTTTAAAATAAAGAACAAAAAACCATTTATAACAAAATATAAACAATAATTAGAAGTATGTAGTAAGTCCTAAATGTTTGAGCTGTATAAGTCAGGTCTTGAACAACAAAAGCCTTTTCTGGTTTCATTGGGCTGTATCCAACAATGATCTTTTGCTAGCATAAAACAGAGGTGTGGGGGGGGGGGGGGGGGGGGAAAGTTCAGACATCAGCAAAACAGAGTCGTTGGATACAACCCAATAGTTTAAGATGGGAAACGTTGTTGTCAGCGGATTTAGAACTGAACATCTAACAAATATATAAACCGACTATGAAAAACCACTTACCAGTGACAAGCAGTTTATTATCAAGCCATTACTAGTTTATTAAAATAGAAAAATAGTATTCTGGAATAAAAATAGGACCAACAGACCCAACCCCCCCATGCATGTCACTTTACTGTCTGCTGTTCCTCTCCACATTCCAGTGACCCTTCTCTCCCAGCTAGCAGAAAGCAGGCATAGTGGCTGCATTTGCAACCATTCACTGTTGTTCAAGCGTCCATCTGCCTGCTGTAGTGAGCGTTGCTAGGGACAGTATATGCTCAGGGCAAGGGGGAGGTGAACTAATAACACCAGTGGCTGAAGAAGAAGAATATACCCCACTTTTCTCTACCCTAAGGAGTCTCAAAGTGGCTTGTAAATGCCTTCCCTTCCTCTCCCTACACAGTCACCTTGTGAGGTAGGTGGGGCTGAGAGAGTTCTGAGATAACTGTGACTGGCCCAAGGTCACCCAGGAGGTTTCATGTGGAGGAGTGGGGAATGAAACCCAGTTCTCCAGATGAGAGTCTGCTGTTCTTAATCAGTACACCGTGGCACTCTTAACCACTACACCGTGCTGCTTCTTTGTTACTCTGTGGTTTAGGCAAAATTGTGGGCATGTGGCAAGCTGTCACTTGCTCATCTCTCCTTCAGGTGGCTGTTCCTACTAGTGATCCACTGACTTGAGCATGGAAATAGTGATAAGCACAGCTTCTATACCTTCTATCAGCTGACTGGCAGAGGAGGGAGAACCATCTGCTACCTTCCTCAGATATAGGACCATCCAAAGCAGAGTTACTTCCTTCCATCAAAGTTAATAAGCTTAGTGTGACAGGACTTTTCTTCCAACTGAGGGCACCCACATAGCCTCTTATGATTTTGGGGAACCAGGTTGGTTTTTAACTGTAAACCTTCCCCTCAGTTACAAGATGTTCTTAGGGCAGCAAGTGTAAAGGCTTTGGGTTCTCTGCCATAATGTGAGTTCTGTGATGAGCAAGACAAACACGGAGACCACTGAGGCAGATCAGCAGCACAGGTCTCCAAATAGTCACAGAAGAAACCTGGCTTAAGCACATAAATTTAAGCTGTGGCTTCCGGGTGTGGTTTGAATTCCCTGTAGTGCTTTCAGTACATATATGCTTTCACTGACTAGCCAACAGGTTGGGCCCTTTCACACAAACAGAATTCCACCCAAACCAGCCTGCCTTTTCCCAAGAGTCAGGCTAAATGGTATGTGGTCTGCCGAACATCAGAGACAGGCTTAACAACCGGGTACTGTGTCAAAAGCAGGATTTCAACAGTTCGAAAGGAGGAGGGTAGAACAAAGAAGGGCAAATCTCGTTGTGGATTCAGTCATCAATGCTGCTGTTCAGAGGAAGAGACTGTGTGGCAGTGACTGCTGCTATGACAGGTCAGAGGTCTGTGGCAGCCTGAGCTGTCCAGTGATGATGTCTCCTGATGCCGGTCCCTGAATCAAATCTTTCAAAAGCTGCAACCTGTGTGTGTTAATCTGAGAGAGCCCGCTTGCGGGGAGGGCGGGTTATAAATATAATAAAGAAATAAATAAAGTGCTGGAGGTATCATTCATTTTTGTCTAGGGTGGAGTTTATTTGTTTTTTGCATATACTATAAATTTGCCCTGGAATTCAGGAACTGTTGCCCAAAGTGTTCTACATTTTTCACATAATGTTTCATGAGATATACCTTAGTCTGTAAAAACAAACGTTAATCAGAGCAGATGTCTATAACAGGGTATAAAAGACTGCACCACATGCTGCAAGATGTCAACCCTTCTGCACAGGAGGGCCCACCCTGTTCTGGAACAGCCCACGCTGTGGCAACTGAGCTCTTGGGCTATTATACTGTCTCTAGATATGTTTGAATGTTCTCCCTGGCACAATCTGAGAGTCTGTGTGGGACTGCTTCTAAATTGCTTGTTATCTGTTGTTAAATAAACCCTGCGTTGAACAAGAGTCTTATCTTGGAGCCTCTGTGGTTTTAGGAGTGGAAGAAAAGAGCATACCTCTCAGGGAAGGGACTGATCCACTCTTTAACAACAAGGTTGCATTTGTGTAACTGACCCTTGGGAGGATAGTTCCTTGGGGCCTTGGAGACTCCATCTTGGTGCAGTGTTAACCTCTGGAACTACACTCTGCAGGCCACCTCTGTGAAGTAGAACAGGGCCCATTTTTTGTTTTCTTTGAGCAAGTTGTGTACTTTAGAGACTGCTCCCTTTTGCACGGTTAAGGTAATTAATAATTATCGTATGGCATTGTGTGTAGAATAGCAAGGAGATCCTAAGATTGTCTGGTAGGCAGAAGTTCTAGCTCTTTTAGCATTAGGTACCACTAGATGGCGAGCTAGACTTGTTTTTAAGGCAAGAGACATTTCAGAGGTGGTTTGCCATTGCTTGCCTCTGCATTGCAGCCCTGGTATTCCTTAGAGGTTGCCCTTCCAAGTACCAGCCAAGGCTGACCCTGCTTAGCTTCCAAGATCTGATGGGATTAGGCTAGCCTGGGCTATCCAGGTCAGGGCGTGGTGGAGGTGGAAAGTGCTATCAATCCTACCATATGGATTTCAAGAAAAGGAACAAACAAAGGTGGTTTGCCATTGCCTGCCTCTGTATAGCAACCCTGGACTTCCTTAGTAGTCTTCCATATAAGTATTGAGCAGGGCGGCAATCCTGGGCCATCCTTTTGCTTAGGTGGGCTATATAGCTGCTTCTCCATTATGATAAGTGGACTACTCAGATCTTGTTTTTAAGTGGTTTCATTGACAAAGTTCTTAATCTATAGATATTGTATCATCCTAACTGCTGATACTCCGACTTTGAGAATAAAATATCCCCACATCCTCATTCCTCCTTGTTCACATATATCAGTGAATCTTTCAAATCCAGCATTAATCCAAGGCATAAAGTCCGCTGAGGTAGGGTTTTGTTTTGTTTTTTTGCTGTCAAGTCACAGCTGACATATGACGACCCCATGGGGTTTGCAAGGCAAGAGACACTCAGGTTTGCCTGTGCATTGCCCATGCATTGTTACTCCTGGACTTCCTTGGTGGTCTCCCATCCAGATAACAAACCGAGGCTGACCCTGTTTAGCTTCCAAGATCTGGCGAGATCAGGCTACCCTGGGCTATCACGGTCAGGGCCCCAAGGCCGTAGCAGGGCAAGACTTTTTATTACCTAACACAGGAGTCAATACCAAAATATTTATGACAAGATTCTTATTCCAGTGATCCCAAACCTAATACCATTGCTATTACATCACTGCCCTTCCCTACTTTCAAATTCTCCTTTTTCCTGAACCACTCCAGGATAATCTTTAATATGGAGGCATAATAAGAATTCAGTATATTGGGAGCTGACAGTGTGCCTTTTCCCTGCAGAGCATTTTTTACCCAAGAAAAATTTATTACGCATTCTCTGGATTTTTCTCTTTGCTGTGTGATCATGCATGGGATAGCAGGAAAAAAGGGGAAAAAGAACCTTGGGAGTATTTTCATTTAAGCACAGCAGTCTTACCCAACCATGATATATTCATCTTGGACCTTTTTTTCTCCTCTGATTTTCATTTATTAGAAATAAAAAAATGCAAGTTTTTTCCTGTAATTTTTTTGTTTTGTTTTTCAACTGTATAGAGATACAGTGGTTGCTGTATACATTACTTTATATATTTTACCCATGGAAATTAAAAATATAGAACCCAGTACTCTGATGTGTGGCTCAGGCTTCCCGTTTCTAAATCAGGAGATTCATATTGCATTGTATGAAATATAGGATGCTCACAACTTACTTGCCTGCAACCCAAAAATCCTCTATTGACTTTGCAATCCCAGTTACTTTTCATTCCTCA